TTTTTTCACCATAATGGTTTCTTCTACCTTTTCTATCCTGCTGCTTTCTAGCAAAGTCTCTTTCTGCTTTCATTCCAAGGAATGTCTACAAAAATGGTATATAAGAATTTCATCACAGCAGATCAAGATGCTAAAATTCCTATGCTGATATAAAAATATTGAAGTTTGTACAGAATATACATGGAGTTTATAAAGCAATGACATGCAATGTGCGACGGGAATACCATTGTCAGTACAGCAACACATGTCCATCATCTCTGTACAGTTGAGGGATCATTAACTTGTTGCATACCCTGAAGCACAAAAGATCTTTATACAATCCAATCCAAATTTATGAAGGATAAACTTGGTTGAAAATCTGATATTTCCCTCTCGACTAGCTTTTAATCAAAATCACCATTTCAATTCTCATACGTGCCTATTATCTCAATATATACATGTAAAGAGCTACCTTAGTTGGATCTGATTTATCAAATCCTGTAGGATACGTCTGAGATCTATACTGTAGTCTCTTATCCCTTGGAAATTCAGAAGTTTTTACTCTAGCTTTGGTGCTCACACTAATGGTTTGTGGTCGAATCTAGGTGCAAAACAGTGCATGAAGTTAGTGCAATTAAACTAAAAGGTGCGTGAATAGTGCTTAGTGCAAATCTAAAAGGGATATGTGTTTGTTTGGTCGGAAAAAGGACACTATGGGAGACAATAATAATTTTTGTTACATAACATAAGGAATCGCAAGTTGTTTTAGCAGAGATGTTTTTCTGTTATCATCTGAATTGTTTGTAATGTTGGCTATACTTCCATTTGTATTGTAACGTGGTACTGTAGCTACAAGATATCATGAGCACTTCGGTACAGATCTCCTGTTCCCAAGTACAAAGTTTAAGCAAATAAGTCACCTTGATTGACAAACCTAAAGGAGTGTCGAGATGAAATCGAAGGAGTTACCTATAACATGTGTCTGCAAAGTTTGTGGTGACTTCCCTGACAATCTAAAAGGGAGCTACGTGTAATTTTATCGTGTAAAGCAATGGGCTAACTAAAAGATACAGCACAACTGACTGATATACCTCGGCATTAGGGTGTGTAACATCAATAGTGTCAGGTCTTCCATCTGTAGCATCATCATCTACTACTGATAGCTCATCATATTCTGATATTACTGTATCACCTTCTGTTAATGTGGTGTTTTCTTGATCTAAATTCACTTGCATGTCATCATCTAGATAAAAGGGAAATCATCACCAATTTGATGGTTTTATAGCAGCATTTTACGAGCTTCAAAATATTGATTTGTCCTTTTTGGTAAATTTATCAAATCAAAAAAAAAAGAAAATTTTTGAAAGCTAGAGATCTGGGTTTTGATATTGGAATGGGCAGAATAAACTAAACCCAAGATCTTTGTGCATATTCTGTGCACTTTACATTACGATAATGAAAGCAAAATTTCTTTAAGACTGCAAATTGTCTCTTTTCAATTACTTAATGGAGTTACCCATTTTGAAATGCCCCACCAGCATTAGAAAGTAATGCATATAAAACCTAGGCGTCTTAGAAAATTATTTGTACTTATTTCCCAGTAAGATATCCCATTGGCATTTACATTTCTTCATTTGACAATCAGGATGTTCCACAAGTTCATTATAAATATCAAATGACTTGAGTAATATCATTTGCCTTTAAGCATCAATTTATAATACAAGTTAACAGTTAACAAGTTTAATACTTATATACTAGTAATACACCACAGTCAAGTTCTA